TCTTTTCGTCCTCCTCATAATCGACATGAACACCAACAGCATCATCATCATCATCATCAGCAACAGCAGTTTAACCACCCCTTAACGAAGTAGGATGAATACATCTCATCTAATTGACTTATAAAAACAAAAAATACATAATTTAATCAGTTGCTATAGCAAATATAACCCTATTTTTTCTCCTTTTGCCTCTTTCTTCTTTATTTCCCATTTGGCCAATTGTCCCCTTTGGCCCACGCTTCTTTCCGTCCACAGACTGGCGCTGTGGGTCGACCTCGGCCGAGCCGCCCGGCGTCTGGGCGTCTGGGACGTCTGTCGAGTGGCGGCCCGATTCGCGCTGGCCTACGACGACTGGCACCAGCCGGACCTGCAGTCGCCACGCGCCGACGCCGCCAACTCGACAGACGTCGATCTGTACCACGCGCCGGCCAACGAAGCGCCAGAAGACTGCTCGGGCCGCTGGGCCCAACTGCTCGGCCAGTTCAACCCTCAACGTGCCAGCCTCCAGATCAGGTGAGGCCAGTTGCTTCGCTTCGCTTCGATCGTGCCGGGGGAGGGGCTCGTTGGTCGCTTCTCCGGTTTTGTCCGGCGGCATCGGCTGCTCGGCCCTCTTCACATTCTAATCAAATGTATTCACCCAATTTCGTCTAAGTTGATGAAGGACTGGTAGTAGAATTTTCCCACGATGATATGAGTTGAGTTGACGTTTCCATTCAATTTCACATAGCCTTGCTTTCCCAAAAGTTGTTCTCATCCAGAGTGGACTGATGATTCAATGGAAACGTCAGCTCAACTCATATGATTGTGGGAAAATTCTACTACCAGTCCTTCATCACCTTAAACGAAATAGGGTGAATACATCTTATTACACATTTATATGGAAAGACAAAAGCTATGGTAAATTCAGCTAATATTTCATTGAAGCAAATTCAACTATAACTCTGTCGTCGCCTATTCCTATTGTGCCTTTTCACACCGGCAAATGTGTGTACACGCCAATCGCGACCACGCCTCAACACTCTCATGTTTACAACGACCTCTCTTTTTGACTCATTCAGTGCGAATTTAGACCAATCACACTTTACTATTATTATTAT